TCTCCCTCCCCTCCCTCCCTCCCTCCCCTTCTTCGTCGCTGGGGTGATGCCTCCTGCCGCAGGGGGATGGATTGATGTCCATCCCCCTACGACAAGAGCCATCTCCCAGCGACGAAGACCGTTCTCCCCTCCCCCGCTGACAGGAACGATCTTCGTCGCCGGGATGATGCCTCCTGCCGCAGGGGGATAGATTGGTCTATCCCCCTACGACAAGAGCCATCTCCCAGCGACGAAGACCGTTCCACGGTCGTCGGGGGCCCGTGGAAGGGTCTTCGACGCCGACAGACGACCCTCGCCGCCCCGAACGATCTTCGTCGCCGGGATGATGCCTCCTGCCGCAGAGGGATAGATTGGTCTATCCCGCTACGACAAGAGCCATCTCCCAGCGACGAAAACCGTTCCACAGCCGTCCGGGGCCCGTGGAATGGCCTTCGACGCCGACAGAGGTCCCTCGTCGTCTTCCACCCTGAACGATCTTCGTCGCTGGCGATGATGCCTCTTGTCGCAGGAGGATGACTAACCTCTGGGAGTTTTCATCTGTCTAGAGATGATCCTGTCGAGCAGGACCATCCCCAGGCCGATGGAATAACTCCCTATGGTCATCCCCCTACGGCATGAGCCATCTCCCAACGACGACGACCGTTCCAGGGTCGTCCGGAGTCCCTGGAATGGTCTTCGGCGCCTACAGATGACCCTCGTCGTCACTTCTATTCGTCCATCAGAGAGAATAGCAGCTGTACTGCTTCCTGTTGACTTGATCATCCAGTTCCCATCCACGCGAGGACGTGATTATGCTGTAGGTACCTAGAGCAAAGAAAAACATTTAAATAAAATAAAAGACTCGGAAATAATGATAACATTATGTGAAAGGGAGTTTAGCTCATCTTCGAACGAAGGTCCTCTCCAGAGAGAGTCCATCGTACGTATTCCATTTCGAAGAGGATCTCGCCAGAGAGATGAACTCCCTTTAAGAACAATATTCAACAAGTGCTAAACGACAATGAAAAGTTAAATAAATATTAAAAGGGTTAACTCAGTTATTTTAATAAGTTTTGGTTTGATAGCAAGTGAAACACATGAATAATTTAAAATTTTTATACAAATTAAGGTTTCAAAATAAACTTTTACCATACTCCTGCCGAAAGTATGATGATTTTTTCCTGATTTCAGAGACGAAATCATAACATTCCCTTCCGAGAATGAAATCGCATTTCTCATACTCTTTAATTGACGCAGAGGATTCTAAAATATTTTTGTAGTAATAGTAAATGCGATTTCTTAGCTGGAAGGGCATGTTGTATTTTCTAGTTTCAGAAATAAGAAAAAATCGTATTTTCTAGGAAGAGGAGTGGTAAAAAATTGTATATCGTTCTCGGGTAGGATATATCATCACCCATTCCCAGTAATTCACACCCGGAAGGGAATGTCGTACTGTCTTCCTTTGGTGCGTAACATCCCCAGTAGCACAACAATATTGGTAAAATATTATATTTACATATTGGTTCAATGATGGAAACGTCAGATTTTTTTTTATTGGCCCAATGTAGATTTTTAATATTAACCCAATATTGAAATTAAATATTGTTCCAATGTTAGGAAATAATAAATGTGCAATATTTATTTGAAAAATACAGCCAATATTTGTTTTCCAGATTGGTCCAATATATGTTTTATATATAGTCACAATATATCATGCATATGTAGGCACAATATCTACCCCAGTACCACAAAAATATTGGTAAAATATTATATTTACATATTGGTTCAATGATGGAAACGTCAGATTTTTTTTTATTGGCCCAATGTAGATTTTTAATATNGAACTACTTTAATTTTTAATTAAGTACTGTAGTGAATAATTTTATCAAAATAAATGGCCGAATAATACAAAATTTCATTGTAATTAAAAAGTATACTTGTTAATAGATATTCATGGTTTTATGAAAAATTTGAAAGCATACTATAATATTTTTTACTAAAGTAGCAAACTAGATTAAATAAAAAACGTTTTTGTAGGATATGTATATGTATGTAATAAAATTAAAAGATTAAAAAAACTAATAATTTGAGCTATTAAATTTCAGCTGATTAAATTTTATGATAAGAAACCACCCCAGTATGAAATGAAAATTAAGTGATATATAAATGATATATAGAAATAAAAAGAGATAGTTAATGTGAAAGATTTAAAGTCAAAATCAATTATTAATTTAATAATAATTCAAAAAATATTGTTAATAATTATTGTAATACCGACGCGTAAATAAAAATGAATATGAAAATACTATTTAAAGCAATCAATTAGCTTTATATCTAATGAAAATGAAATCCTACCTTTGATAAGGTGAGAGGGAGACAGAGAGTGACATACAGTAGATGGAAAAAACGTTGTTGAAGACCATCGAGCGTTGGCGACTGGAATAAACACCTGTAACAAAAGAAGAAAACAAATAATTTCAGAAAAACGAGAGAAAAAGTTATATAAAACCTACCTTCCTGTAATTCACAGAGTTAGGGGGTTGCTGATGATATCCACTCCACCAGAATGTAGGTAGGTAAGTCGAAGGAAATCTGAAACAAAAGAAAATAATATGAAAAATAATCTAGTTACAGTTAATCGTCCTTAAATTAAACTGTACACACTGCGATTCTTTTAAAACAATTTTTGTTTGCGTAATTAATAAACAAAGATTAAATAAATGTATATATAAATATTTGATACACTTCACCTACTCTCGTTTGCGTCCAAGAATAAAATTTTTATTATTTCTGTAGCTGTTCAATACTTCACTTTAACGTCAGAAATAAAACAGTATTTATAGTTTGTTCGACTAGTTTCGGCTTTATTAGGACATTTTCAAGAATCAAATGTTAATATTAATGCTGAATAATAGAATATATATACATCTTGCGCGTGGATTTAATACCTTTCGAACGTAATGAAATTTTATCGGGTTAAAAAAGAAAAATCTGGTGCCCGATGTGAATGCGTTTACAGATGATTATCGTTGACGAAGGGAACGGGTGAAATGGTTTTTTTTAAAGGGTCCAATCAACTACGAATGAATCGTTGGGGCATGAAAATGCCAATCGATTTCGATATCGCGAGCTTTCATCACTTGAATTCATGCACACTGCCTACATGCCTAATAACTACCATATCCTACCACTATTACTATAATAACATACCGGGTGATTGATTAAGAACGACACCTAAATTAATAGTACAATAATATCAGAAATCAAGGGTGAAAAACACATCAGCGTTTTGGCTGATGTTACAAAATTCCTTTAGCAGTTAAATGATAAAGTATATGTTGTTATTTCAATACGAATTCAAAATAGCAAAGGGAGGTATTATGTAATGAGAAGGGTGGTTAAATGTAGGAAGATATGGGAAGAATCGATAAAAGGATAGTAAAATAAGAAGAAATGGTAGGGAGGCTGAAATAAGGGGATGTCAGCAGAGGGAGATACTATGGAATAAGAGTGGAGGATAAATGTGGAAAGATATGGGAAGACGCAATAAAAAGATAGTAAAATATAAAGGGTGGTTGGGGAGGCTGGAATAAGAGGATGTCGGGAAATAAAAACGATAGAGGTATTTGAAGAAATGAAAAATCGATCAAGAGTAGGTAAGGGAATAGTTGAGGGAAGGGCACAATATAGGGAAACTGATAAGGAACAGATACAGGAAAATGATAAGAGGAGAAAATTTAAGAAAAACACAGCAGTCAAGGTATGTGATTGGGGCTGAGGAAGACTCTGTGAAGGAACTGACAAGGAGTTTGGGAGCCAACGCATTTGTTGGAGAAAGGGAAATAGACGTACTAGCGATTTACGCTAGGGAATGAGTGCAGGGGATGTAAATATTGGATGAAGGGAGAGGATATGAGTAGGAGAGGTTTACCTATGTCTGAAACATGTGTTAGGAGGATGTGAGGATAATAAAATTTGGGAAGAATGGTATGAATTGATGAATAAGGATACGAGTGAGCTGAACTAACAGGAGAAAATTTTAAGGGGTATGGGGTTGTTTTTGTTTTTAAAACCGTAACAAAGGTATGGTAGAGAAATAAAGTGGAGGGGAGGATAGATTAATATCGGTAAAACAATAGCAATAATGATAAGTGCTGAAATGAAGAAAATAATTTTATGTTTCAATAAAGCTTCATATCAAAGGAAGATATTAATACTGAACAAAAATGTGGTAATGGTTGAGACTTTGACGGCCGGTGCTTGTATAGTCATCGTTAATTCAGGACTCGTTAGCCGTGGCCCGGGCGATAGCCAGGACCGCGAACTACGGCTAACCAACGACGATTAAAAATATCCTAGTTTAAAAGTTACAGAATATTTTAACTTTTTTCGTAATCAACAAATCTTAAATCCTAGCTAAATCCTACCGACAATTTCATAAACTTGTTCGGACGAACGAAGTGACACGAACAGAAAGATGTAGCCGAATGGACGCTTTGCGTCGCGTGCGTCTAATGAGGCCCAGTTCTAATCGGTCGGTGTAACTTCGTCAGTTCACACAGAAGGAATAATCGTCGAATAAAAAACATATGTTCTACGCTAATAGTGGAGGTGCGTGACAGATGAAAGAGAATGATAAGGTGACGATGATGGACATATACATGTAGTATACTATGGTATACACATATACCACCTACACACATCACGGCCTAAACCTGCTGACTAGCTAACATAATTTGTTCGGCTTCACTTCCGAGCGTAATTTTTTTTCTTTTAAAAATGTCATAATCACCAGCCGGTAGTAGATCTGTAGATGATTATAACATGTGGAAAAGCAATTTCCCATTTCCACTTTTAGCGCCATTTCACGGAAATTTACGGAGGCGATGTGGGCGCCGATAATCATTTCCTTTACTTTATTTATTGTAGCACCTAATGAATATTAATGTTTTTCTTTTGCGAATAGTTAGTTGAAAAAATACAAATATTCATGAAATTTTGATTTTACCTTCGAAAGCTATATAAATATAATAAAAACAAGTTGGAAAACTACAAATCATTTTCATTAGCACTATATATAATGTTGCCCCCTCTGTCATAAACATTTAATGATAATTAATTAATAAATTGCTGAATGCAGTTTGGTCTGAAGATATATTTGATTAAAATTGAATGACGTATGTAATTTACTATCTAGTAATAACGTTTATGGAAATGGCATACTTGGAAATAGATATACATATTTTCCCCGTTAGCTAAGGAAATTCAATTACCAACAGCAGAAGACCTCCTATAATTTTCTTTCGACACGTAAATGGATAAGTACCTACATAAATATCCAATAATTTCTTCTTGTTTATATCTTTACGGTATATTAATGTGATGCGAAGCAGTAAATTTTTCTAGAATCATTACAATCTCATGTATTCCAAGTAAAAATTAAAAACTAACGTATGACACATATACGTAGATACCTAAACCATTAAATAAATAAATAAGATTATTATGCACTATCCTCTAAAAGGCGAATAAGATGAAACTGCCTTAAGAACTACTCTAATATAAGTACCTAAAAATGCGTTTATGTAATGTTTAAATCAATAAGTCCTATAACCCTAAGTACAGAAACGCGTTTAGCTGGTTTAGCATTGTAGTTAGCATTTTTAAAAGAAGGCTTTTTATAAGAGGTGAATCAATTAATCTTGCCGCAAACAACTTAATTAATTTCACCAAATTTCTTTGTTTAATTAACGACACTTTTTACCGCATCGAACAATTTACGGTATCGTAAGAAAACGTACGACATCAAAGTCATTGTGTGCACCATGTATTGAACTCAATACGTCTCAATTAACTCACAAAACGTACTTTACCGTTCTACTTGACGACAATTCATATTAAGAAAATGGAATTATCTTCGGTCTTTTTGTTGGCAAAGAAGCATGCTCGAAACGACCCAGCCGAAGATTTTTACAATTTCATTCATTTTCGCCATTATTATATCGAACAAATCGATTAAAATAGTTAAATTTTATAGCAACCAATTGCAAAAAACGAATTTGTACATATTTCATATTAAGTCAAATAAAGCAGTAATACAATAAAAGTAATAATTTAAAATTTTTTGGACATTTACTACATTAATGTTTGACGTTTCAAAAGTTTCTTAAAAATTGTCCAAGGTTTTCTNTTCTTTTGCGTTACCGCACACAGAAATTTGTAGACAAGACAGAAAGATATATACCGTAGAGGCAAGTTCAGAACCGAACTTGACAACACCAACAAAAAGTTCACATTAGTGGTCACTATTTTTTCCAAATCGTCAGACGCTTTCTGTAGTGATTCATAAAACGCTGTCTTATGGCAGCAAGTAGAATGGGTCTGTATTCTGTCAAAATTGTCTACGACACGCTGATGAGATCCAATTAGATCGAAATCGCGATCCGCGTCTGACAGCTTCGACAAAATAATGATCACCACGAACTTGTTTTTCTGCAGGGTTACGTAGATTAGCTACGCCCTGAATTCAGTTCGACAAGTTGGTATCCTTAAGGATCTTGTTGAACATTTTTAAATTCCATTAAAGATACCAATATACTATAGATAGCATTTACGTTATTTATAGTAATTCATTCTATTATTGCAAGTAATCGTCAAAGGGTGATATCCTTTTTCGACTAATACGACGTGTGGTAAAATAAAGTTCGTACAAATACCTTCAGCTATCTCTTCGTATAGGTTAATAATAAATTAATATGTTGTTAATAAATAAATAAAGATTTTCCCATTGGATCATTGAGATTGAATTGTGTTGCTTACGCTCTTAGTAAAAAGATATGTTTTAATGGGATGTCGCAAGGAGTACTGGTTATAATACACATACGACAGGGCAACCTATCAATACTTTCTTCCCTTTTATTGTTCGACCTGGAGCAGTGCCGGTAGGGTGCAAAGGGAGCACACGCACCTGGGCCGCAGCTGCACGGATGCTGTGTCAAGGTAAGTACATGACATTTCGTCCGGCCATAGGCCGCATACTATATTATACATAGTATAAAACACACCGTATGTACATACCATACACCTAATATACCATGTATGTGCGTACGTAATATGCCTTACCTACCCACTACCATACGGGCCCCATTTTACATTACGCTTCAATCATAAATCACGCTACAAATCGTTTTTTTTTCTCTTCTTTCCTTTATCATCATCGTCATCGTCGTGAAAATCAAGCTTCGCGTAGCCAAAGTACGTAGTTATTGCGTTGCGTTGTAGGGCATTAACAAGTTCGTATTATTAGATGGACACGTGTGAATGGAAGTAAGGAAGAGGATAATAGTGTCGGATAACCTATGGTAGGTTCGCTTTTCTACAAAGACGATAAAAGATCATACGATTATCAAGTACCTTTACTTGAAGCTCTACGAGAAATCGTTAATTGTAGTACTTTTGTCATCACTTGTAATATTTAAAAAGAAATCTTAACCTGAGGTCCATGGAACCCTGCGGAGAAAGACGTAGCTAGTTTTTCCTGTTGCATGGACCATTTTTTTAGCGAAGCATCTTGGGTGTGTGAATGTTTACGA